AGAGAAATATATACATTCGTATATATGCATATATGTCTATGTATGTCTATACTAAAGGAATGAATGTTCATGGTCAAACACTAGAAATAATCAAATATCCATCAATAGAAGATGAATAAATAAATTATTCATTTATATTAATCAATAATAAAAGATATTGAACTACTATAATTATAACATCTCCAGATCTCAAAAATCTATTGAGGAAAAGAAGTCAGGCACAAAAAAGCATGTAATACATAATTCTATTATATGGAATTCAAGAACAAGGAAAACGAATCCATATAACGGAAACCTGAAAAATGTTTCACTGGAGGCAAAGGGGGATGTTAACTATAAATGGGCATAAGGAAAGCTTTTGAGGTGAGATAGTCATATTTTGATCTAGGTTTTACATACATTTAAAAATAATCAAGTCATATACATTACATGTGAATACTTTACTGCATGTTACTCCTTAATTGAAAAAACTCTATAGAGGGTCAGTGAGACAGACGGCTTAGCAGGTAAAAATGCCTACAGCCAAGTCTGACTCCTGAGTTTGATCCCTGAGCAAACACAGAGAGAGAGAGAGAGGGAGAGAGAGAGAGAGAGAGAGAGAGAGAGAGAGAGAGAGAGAGAGAGAAATTTAAACTGATAAGAACAGATACTACACTTAGTCTTAGCCAAAAGGCCAAGAAGCAATATAAAATAAAAATTTAAATCTATTGAACAAAAATAGCCTTGAGTATCTCAAGTCTTACGTATCAGAAATGAAATCATAGGAGTAATTTCCCACTTTGAAAAGATCATAGACTTTCAGATGTTTCTTATGGTTCTGCTGTAGAATCTTTTTACACACACACATGTATGTATGTATGTATGTATGTATGTACGTATGTATGTATATACATACTTATACCAACCATCCACTGAATGTTCTATATAGCAATGAATTGGTTTACACGTTGTTATTATGGTTTGGATATGACTTGAGCATCTCCCAAGCAGTCCCTTCCCTCCATCTCTGTTACTTAGGATTGAGATATGACCACCTGTTCCTACACTTAGCCCAAAATAATGTGAAACCATCCACCACCTTCAACAGAGGCTAAATCAATGAGGCTATCTAATTTTGAACTTCAAACATACAAAACTATGAGTTAAGTAAACCTCATTCTTCATAAATAGCCTGCCTCATTACTATAGTAACATAAAACCGGCTTATAGGCTTGTCACGAGCCAACTAAATATGAATATATTTTCAATGACAGCTAATTTCCAAACCTCCCTGAGAACTGGATTTCCAACAGTTTCAATTTTGGTCTCTCTCTCCTCCCACCCCCATTAAACTTAGGCTACTGACAATATGCCATTCATCTACAGAAAACAAAAACCAACAGAAAACTGTCTCATCCCACATTTCCCATCAGTAACAACCCCAATGATTTCTTTTCTTCATTTCACTGCTAAGTTTCTGGGAAATTGACCTCCTATCAACATTTTTATGTCCCTCTTCCCATTTCCTTTTTTTTTTTTTTTTTTTAACTAAGGTAGTAATTCCTTACTTTATTCTAAATATATATCCTTATATTTATAGACAAGTTTGCCTTTCAACCTTCATCAAAGAAGCTTCTTTTTGCAACAGATTGAGACTATTACAGAGTTCCAGAAGTAGTCAAATGCAGAGAATGAGTGTCTGTGAGATGCTTAAGCTTAAGTGACACATCTTCAGTGCAATCTCGCACATAGGATGAATGCATCTCTCAACCCTCTTCCCATTTCCTTTTTAGCCACCTCAGTTTAGTTTCCTTAAATCGTATCACTCCAAAGCAACTACTTTTGTCAAGGTCACACAAAAGCTTTTTTGTTTTGTTTTGTTTTTTTGAAACAGGGTCTCCCTGTAGCCCAAACTGGCCTGGAACTCACTAGATAGACCAGGCTGGCCTAGAACTCACAGAGATCCACCTGCCTCTGCCTCCAGAGTACTGGGATTAAAGGCGTGTGCTACCACGCCCGGCTCACTCAAGAGTTTTATGTGGCCAAACCCAAGCTTTCTTTCGTCCTCATCTTGCTTTACTTGTCAGGCACATTGGACGCAGCTGCCCACCCACCCACTCCCTCCTCACTATGCCCCTGTCTTGAATTCTCTTTCCCCACACTGCTGGTTTTCCTCCTCTCACTGGCTGCTCTCTCTTTTACTGTTCTGCCTCCTCTACTGACCAAATAAAGTAGTTCTCAGGCCTTTATCTTGAGCCCCCTTCTCTCCTGGAACTCTCTCCATTAATTCTCTGTGATTCCATTCATTCTCCAGCTTAAAATATTACCTGTGTGCTGAAGATGACCAAATCCCCATCTCTAGCTAAGCCTCTTCCTTAGAAGAGAGGGCATCTACCTGCTTCTCCCATTGTTTTTCATATTAGCATTCTTTTTATTCCCTACACAGTCCTTAGCATAATTTTAATTAATTGAATTGTTAGTCCCTTTTCTTAATATCCTTTTTCCTTACCTGACTGGACCCCCATGAAGAGGAAAGCCCTGCCTTTCTTGTCCACTGTATTACCAGTATTTTGCACATATGGCACATAAAGGTAGCCAAAGAATAGAATTTTAAAAACTTATTATTGTGCGTATGTATGAAGTAGGGAGGGCACACATGCCATAGCATTCATGTGAGGGTCAGAGGACAACTCTGTGGAGTCTGTTCCCTCCTTCCACCTTTACTGGGGTTCAGGCAGCCACGCTTGTGTAGTAAGCACCTTTACCTGCTGGGGCATCTTGCTGTTCCTTCAACAGATCATCTTTGAATGAAGAATGAATAAAGATTTCTGGCTTTTGAGTTACATGATATAATAAATGTTGTCTTACAAGATGGATCAAAATGAATGTTAGGAAGCTTACACTAGGCCCAGTGGCACAGGTCTATAATCCCAGCTTTTCAGAAGACAGAGTTCAAGTCTATCTTGGGCAACTTAAGTCATCTCAAAGTAAGAAAAAATAAAAAGAGGGGCTGCACTTGCCTAGCATGGAAGAGGTATTGGTTCTAATCCCTAGCACCAAATAAAATAAATAAAAGTTAATTACTTTTTTTTTTGCTGTTTTGGGGGAGTTGTTTGTTTTTTGAGACAGGTTACTAAGTTGGTCTTGAACTCATGACAATCCTCCTGCTTTGGCCTCTCAAGTGCTGGGATTACAGGTGTTAGTCATCATACCCTGATTATCTTTTAAAATATTAATTATTTTTTGTTGTAGTTTTCTGAGTCAGAGTCTCCTTGTAGCACCAGATGGCCTGTAGCTCACTACATAGGCTAGGCTGACCTTGATCTCCCAGAGATCCCCCACCTATGCCTTCCAAGTGCTGAAGTTAAAGGTGTGTACCACCATACCAGGCTTTATTTATTTTTATTTGTGTGTATGTGTTTTGCTTGCATGTTAAATATATCACATGTGCAATGCTTGTGGAGGCCAGAAGAGGGTATTGGATCCTCTAGAACTGGAGGTATAGACAGTTGTTAGCCGTCATGTGGGTGCTGGGAACCTGGGTCCTTTACAAGAACAGTCAGTTCTCTTAACCACTGAGCCATCTCTCCAATCCCCTGATTATCTTTTAAAATCAGCATTTAAGCCGAGATTATACACCTATACTCCCAATATTCGGGGGCCACACATATGAGGGGAGCTGCAGGTTGAAGGCAGCCTGGTCTACATAGACAGTTCCAGGTCAGCCAGGGCTACTTAGTAAGACTTTGCAAAATAAATAAACATAAAAATAAAATCAGCACTTAAACAAAGACATGCTAAACCTATATGTAAAGACAGGCCACCAGTGATGCACCATATGCTAGGAAAATAGTGACAGGTTTCACTGACAGTGGTCCAACTGAGGGCAATGCTTGGCCAACTTTAAGGTGCACAAGGATTCCCAGAGGCTCTGGTTAAAAATGAAGGTCCTGATTCAGTGAGTTTCTGCATTCACAACAGTTCCCAGTGATACACAGCTGGTGCTGATGCGCTTGGTCTACTCAGATTATCAGAAAGGCTCTACGGTCCTTGTAAAGGATTTGTGAACTAAACTCAACATTTGCTGGACTCTGAGTTTGTGCCTACTATTGTACAAGGTGATTTCATATTTTACTTATTTATTTTATTTAATGTGTATGAGTGTAATGCCTACATGTAGGTAGGTGCACCTGTGTCATGCAATGCCTGCAGAGGTCTGAAGAGGGTGTCAGATCCCCTGGAACTAGAGTTACAGTCAGTTGGTAGCCATCATGTGGGTACTGGGAATCGAACCTGTGTCCTCTGCAAGAGCAGTCAGTGCTCATTTTTTTTTTTTTTTTTTTTTTCAGTCTTTTTTAAAGACAGATCTCCCTGTAGCCCCGGCTGGCCTGGAACTCACTATGTAGACCAGACTGGCCTTGAACTCACAGAGATCTGCTTGCCTCTGCTTCCTGAGTACTGAGATGAAAGGCATGAGCCACCACACCCAGCTCTAGTCAGTGCTCTTAACCGGTGAGCCATCTCTCCAGCCCCACAAGGTGATTTCATATACCATATTTTATTTAAACTGTGGCTGGATGATCTCTTGTGGTGTAGTTAACTCCTATTTAGTTGAAAGGGTGCTTTTATTTTTTGGGGGTTTTGGGGTTTTTTGTTTGTTATTTTTTCCACTATTCCTACCAAGATCTAGTACCCTCTTTTAGAAAAATATATTTTATAATACCTCTTCAAAATTTTTAAAATTTATTTTTATTTTATGTGTATGAGTGCTTTGCCTACATGTATGTAAGTGCACCTTTGTTGTGCAAAGTCCTCAGAGGCCAGAAGAGGGTGTCAGATCCTCTGGAACTGGAGTTACAGATGGTTGTTAGCCACCCTGTGAGTGCTGGGAATTGAACCCGGGTCCTCTGCCAGTGCTCTTAACCACTGAGCCATCTTTCCAGTCCTATAATATCTCTTTTACTACTGTGATTATTGCCTACTCACAATATGTATATATATATATTTATAAAAACTTTAATCTTCATCTTTGGAAACTATAGACTATACATGATTTGGAAAGGAGATGGTACCAAAGAACAGTCAAAGAAGGGCCATCCGCTCTATGCCTTCTCTCTTGTCTGGTCACTCAGAAATACAATGTTATCAGCTATGATTGTTGTTGCTTGCCGCCTCACATTATTTTTATCCACGTATTCGCCATAGTCCACTTTCCCTTCCACATATATTCGAGCCCCCTTTTTCACATACTGATATGCCACATCTCTGAGGCCTGGTCGGAACACCGATATCCTGTGCCATGTTGTCTTGTGGCTGACATCACCCATTTGGTATACTTCACTCTCCCCTGATCGCCACATCTCATTTGTTGCTAGAGAAAATATTGTGACTGGATTTTTTCCTTCCACCTGCCTCATGACAGGGTCCTGACCCACTCGCCCAAGCAACTGCACACGATTCAGTGATCTTTCAAGAACCAAACTGGCAGCTACTTCGGACTCATGTCTCACAAACTGATGGAAAACCTGTAATACAGGTCTTCGAAACATGGCTTCAACGTTTCTTACAATCTTATCTTTGGGCTTTTCCTCGCGCTGGGACTCGCGGGAGCCTGGTCCCCCAGCGACGCTCCCACCCGGGCGGCAGTCCGGGCACTCGAATCCTCCGCACGCGTGGGAATGACACACACCCCGCGTGCACTGCACACCCACGACTTCTCTTCGCTCTCCTCTCCTTCACCTCCGTACGCGCAACACCCAAATACGTATATTTTTAAATATAAGGCCCCATCAGTACTGTAAAGGTAAAATAAATTAAATAATAATAAAATACATAATCTGCATTTCAAAATGTACCAGCACCATTATTCTACAAAACGGAGTGAGAAGGGGGCTGTATATATTTGCAGAATCAGTATGAAGGAGACATTTCAACGCACAAGGATGCAGGTTGTACCAGTAATGGCAAAAGAGTATTTGTTGTGTGAATCCTCTCTCAATTTACATGGTAGTTATAGTCCTAGGCAAATCAGAGCATACTAAAACCATGCAAAAGTGCTTCATTTTTAAACAAAATAGAGTGAGTCTAGAAGCCATTCGTCACAAAATGCCATGAAGTTTGAGCTAAGGAAGAGAATCCTAGGATGACTTCTTGACAGAGTGAGCATCTGGGAGGAACAAAAACAGATGGCCCAGGGTTCCCACTGGCATGACTGGGCTGCTAGCAATTCTCGGGAAGCCAGGAGAAGGTGATTTGGCTGGGAGAGAGAACGAGCTTAGTTTTAGTTTGTTGAATTGGAAGAAAAGCATTAGAAAAATAGGTAGTTGGGAAAGGAAATGTGTGTTCAAAAGCAATCTAGAATAACAATAGTAGAAGACAGAGGCCACTGCTTGCAAGGCGCGCAAGCTACACTGCGAAGGATTTTAAATGTCTAACTACAAAATGCTTAGAATTTTTATTTTTTTTAATATTTTAGTTATTATTTTTATTTTATGTATATGCGTGTATTGCCTGCATGTAGGTAAGTGCACCCGTGTCATGCAATGCTTGCAGAGGACAGAAGAGGCCGTTGGATGCCCTGGAACTGGAGTTATGGGCAGCTGTTAGCTGCCATGTGGGTGCTGGGATTTGAACCTGGGTCTTCTGTGAGAACAACCAGTGTTCTTAACCACTGAGCCATCTCTCCAGCTCCCCTAGACTGGTTTTTAAAGGGGATTAACTTTATATTTTAGGTAGAAAGAAAAGCATGTGACATTCTGAATCTGTCCTTTTCAAAATGTGTTTGAAAAATGCTAGAGCTGATCTTCAGCAGAGAAGGAGCAGGCCTAACCCCAGTGCCCTGTTCCCTCCTGTCTCATCTGGACAGCTGCACTTCCATCTGCCCCCCACCAGCTTTCATGTAGAAAGGTGTTCCATTGCTAAACACAAGTTTTGTCCTGTTTTTGTGTCTAATCCTAATTCTTGTTGAACTGTGAGACTGAAAGTGGAATATCTCAAAATTATGACACAATCATCCAAAAATACTGGCTAGAAGAGTGGTTTAAGTCTTTAGGCCCTAGGCACACACCTGCAATCCCAGTACTTGGGAGACTAAGGCAGGAGGATCACAGCTCAAGGCCAGCCTGGGCCTCATAATAAGACCCTGTGTCAAAAAATAAAATCTAGCGCAAGGTATGGTGGCATACCCCTATAATCTTGGGGGCAGAGGCAGGAGGATTAGGAGTTCAAGGCCAGCCTTAGCTACATAGCAAGTTTGAGGCTAGCCTGAGCTTCATGAGCCCTTGCCTCAAAGCAAAACAACCCCCCCCACAAAATCTGTAAGAACTCTATGAATTTTAATATTAGTCATTATTTGTCCTATTATATACCTTGTATATCTCTCCCTTGTTAACTGTATTTTTAGCTGTTTAAGTTAGGGACAGCCAGGACCATATTAGGCCAGTGGTATTGCAAAGGCTATTTGTAAAGTCTTTTGAGGACTACAAATTCCTTGCACCAAGATGTGCATACCACGTTGCTGACTTGGCATGCTTAGGAGCATGTACTCAATTATATGTTCTGGACTCCTAGCCCTACTAATTCAAATTTGAGAAGCAGAATTTATCCTACTTAAATCTTTACATTTACAAACTATCATGTGTTATTACGTTCTCTCAAGGTAATTCACAAGGAGTCAAAACAACTGGCTACACTTGTAAATACAAGGGCTGACTCTTTAAGAATTTTGTGTGTGTGTGTGCGTGTGTGTGTGTGTGTGTGTGTGTATACCTGTATACACATAGGCCAGAAGAGTGTGTCAGATCCCGTGGAGCTTAAGCTACACGCTGTTGTGAGCTACCTGATGTGGGTGCTGGGAACCAAACTCCAGTCCTCTCCAAGAGCATCCGTACCACTGAGCCAGCTCCCCAGCCTTGGGTTGATTTGCATATTGAATTCTTGCCTATCAACTTCACAGCTTTATTTCTAAAATGCATGAAAAATATTAAAATGATATCTGTTCCTAATCTTTTCACATACTCAAAGCAAAAGAGGTAAAGAACCAGTGCTTTACGACACTGCTTCTTAAACTGTGGGCCACATATCTGAGTGGTGTGGGCTCATGAAAATTTGGCAACAGAAAAAAGATTTCTGAATGTGTATTGATCAAAAATTAAGTCACAATCAAAATGTAATGAACCCAGGAGTTTGTGGCAGCACTTGCCTATGTTGCATCACAAAACACCAACACAGCCTTGATTTTAAACACACAAACACAGCACCTTGCATGGTGGATGCCATCAAGTCACAAACGCTAATGAACACTACCTTAAACACCCTGGATTGAATTAGAGACTACTATATGCTATGAATTGCAGTCCTGGTTGTTTTTTTTTTTTTTTAACCTTTATAGAAACATAATGGTTTAATTGTGGAAAAAACTTTGAATATTTGTCTACCATCATTCCTCAGCATATATCAAATTAGTATACCTTTGGATTGGATTGCATTAGAATGTCTGATTTTTAAAATTTCTGTTTGAACTGATGGGTGTGGTGGCACACACCTTTAATTCCAGCACTCTGGAGGCAGAGGCAGGCGGATCTCTGTGAGTTCAAGGCAAGCCTGGTCTACATAGTGAGTTCCAGGAAAGCTAGAGCTACAGGGAGACCTTGTCTCAAAAAGCCAAAAAAAAAAAAAAAAAAAAAAAAAATTCTGTTTGAACTGCAAATTTTAATCATTAAATGAAATTTGGCCTGTGTTTAGAAATTTCAGTGATTTCTGAAATGGCCCTAAACATTCGTTGGCCATTTTGTACTCCCTATTTATGTAAAGCAGTGTTCTCAGCATTGATTATAAAATCAAAATATCGGGCCTAGAGAGATGGCTCAGTGGTTAAGAGCACTGACTGCTCTTGCAGAGGACCTGGATTAGATTCCCAGCAGCCACATGGTGGCTACGAACTGTCCTTAACTACAGTTCCAGGGGAATCCGAAGCCCTCTTCTGACCTCTGCGGCAATGCACGACACAGGTGCACTCACATACATGCAGGCAATACACTCATACACATAAAATAGAAAACAAATAAAATATTAAAAAAAAGAAAATAAAAATATCAATCAACTCTGAAAACACTGACGACCCTCCATCCTGCAGTATTAAATATTTGGCCAAGATTTAATTCTTTATATAAAAATAAATATATCTGTTGCATTAGTATGTAAATTTTCTGTTTTTCTTCTGTTTTTAATAAATGAGAAAACGATATGTATACTAAACAATTATTTAAAATTTCTTTTTGAAGCCGGGCATTGTGGCGGACGTTTTTAATCCTAGCACTTGGGAGGCCGAGGCCAGCCTGGTCTCCATATCGAGTTCCAGGTCAGCTGGGGCTATAGGGAGACCCTGTCTCAAAAAAAGACCAAAAATATTTTTCTTTTTGATGTATTACCTGTATATGTCTGATTTGTGTGCCTATTTTATATACATATATATCTGGGGTCATGTAAAATTTTCTCTGGTGAAAATGGGCTACAGTTTAAGAAGCCCTGGTTTATATCCATTATGAAAATTGCTCTCTCTGATTCCCTTGAATGCATTAGATAAACATTTCCTTTTAACTACTGGTCCATCTATTTATCAAAGTTTGACTGGTAGAGCTTAACACCCACAGTGCCAAGAGTGAGTAAGGAAACCACATGATGGAAGAAGAAAACACAGTCCCATAATTTGTCCTCTGACCTCCACCTGTTTTGGACCACACATACTTAAATAACTATCTAACTAAATAATAAAAATATTTGGCTTTGGACTGGAGAGATGGCTTAGCAGTTAAGAACACTGGTTGTTCTTGCAGAAGACCCGGGTTTGAATCCCAGCACCCACTGGCAGCTAACAACTGTCTGTAACTCCAGTTCCAGGGGATCCAACAACCTCTCTGTCCTCCACGGGCATTGCACGACATGGGTGCACTTACCTACACGTAGGCAATACACACATATACATAAAATAAAAATAATAAATTTAAAAATATTTAAAATATTTGGCTTTAAGTTATAACCTAACAAAACAACCAGTAACATTCTGTTTTCTAAGCTTCTTTTTCAGTTCTATTATTAAAGTATTTAACAAATTTATATTAAGTTTTGACACAGAATTGCTAGCACCAGCCTGGGAATATAATTTAGGTGGTAAAGTGCTTGCCTACAATTTATGAAGCCCTAGGTTCAGTTCCCAGCACCCCATAAACCAGGTGTGGTCATGCATACTTGTAATTTCAGCACTTGGGAGGTGGAAACAGGAGGAGCAGAAATTCAAATTCAAGGTCATCCTTGGCCAGCCTGGGATACATGAGACACTGTCTCAAAAAAAAAAAAAAAAAAGTTGCTAGCACCAATCTTCCATTCACAAAAAATTATTTAAATAAAATGCATTATAATAAACACTACAGGGGCCCACATGATTGCTCAATGGGTAAAGGTACTTGACTACCAAGCCTGATAACCTTGAGTTCAGTCTTTGGGTTCTACATGATGGAAAGAGAGAATTGGCTCCCACAAGTTGTCCTCTGACTTTCACACATGGACTGTCATATATGCATACCCATATACACACAAATCAATGTAATGAATTTCTAAAATAAACATAATAAATTTTATTTTTCATTGCTATTTTCTTGATTGAACACAACAAACTCTGATGGTCTTCAATAAACTGGGTTCTAAGCGTACAAAAATAAAACATAAGGGGATGGGAAAATGAAATGAGGGCCTGAC